ACACATCAAGATACAGTTTTATGAGGAAAATCTTACCATAAAGTTCACCCTGGTGCCAATAAATTCCCACAAAGCTTTTTAGTAATCACTTGGTGAAAGTGTTAGCTAACGGCAGTGTGTAGCATACTCTCCTCTCATTGGTCAGTCAATGAACCCCTCGCTGATTGGTTGTACGCTAAGCGACAGCGACAAAAGTTGAACATTTTTCAACTTTCATATGTCGCGTCGCAAGCTCGCGTGTGCACTTCTACGTGTACGGACGCGAAATTTCACATGCACTATTTTCGCCGGTCGCTTAGCTGGAGGAGGGTGAGCGATTGTCGCCTCACCGCACAGGCTCCGTAGGAAATGAATGAAGAGCGAGCGACGTCGCCTCCCGTGTGTCGAGCCCTTAACTGTCCAAATACTGACAGCCCCCAAACCCCGTATCGATCCATAAAACCAGTAGGAATGAAGAAATTTAAGGACTCCTATTTAAAAGAATTAGCAGCAACAAATATCTTAAAAAATGTAATATTTACTAATGAATTTAAAATGTATTTTATCTCTGATATAGCCACTTCTAGTTTAAGATGGCATTCATCCACTTTGGGCTTGGTCACACTCAGACTACCCTTATTATTATTATCACTCTGATCTGAATTAACTTTTGTTTAATGTTTGTTCTTTTAAAACAGATAAACAAAGATCTATGTACAGCAGGTAAGATAGTCCTTGTTCATAACCTTTGCACAAAACCCAATTTTGTCAGCAAGCTTTATTTGAGATTCAACGCTCAGCGTTTCCTGTTGATAAATATTGCAGTAAAGTTCAGTTTCAGGGCACAGGAATAGGAAGCAGGACTGGGGCAAGGCCGACGTCGGTCAGGTCGCTCCTGACCTGTGGCTCTCCCTCCCTGAGCACAAACATCCTCCCAGATCTGCTGCTTCTCCACACCCATTCAAAACATGCAAAACTTCTGCCTTTGTGGAGAAACGCACACAAGAAATGAAACAAAACAACATTCCAAAGATTTTTCTCTCTCTCTCTCTCTCTCTCAAAACACAGATCTGAAGGAGAGATAGAATGACGATGCATTTGTTCTAGAGTCCAAAACTAAAGTAAATTTGCTGAACAACATGTGGGTCTGATTAAACAGAGCCAGGAATAAAGACTCAGGTTGTTTCCTGTCTCTGGCATTCATTACATGCCAGTGTGTTGTCTCCATCAAATCACGCCTCATCTGACCCTACAAAAACAATATCCCCACCTCAGATCACATGATCAGCTCCATCCATCCATCCATCCATCCATCCATCCATCCATCCATCCATCCATCCCCTCACTTATGGAGTAAACACCTCCTCAGCAGAGAGATAAACATCAACACAGAGACAATAATCAGAGCTGCACAGACAAACCTGTAGAGTCCAAAGCCTCCTCTATGAGTGGAGGTAAACGCAGTCCATCCATGTCCACCCTTCCTCCTCCTCCTCCTCCTCCTCCTCCTTCTCCTCCTCCGGAGCTGCAGACACGATCGGGTCAGAGGCTCCTCACGCCCACCTCCTGCTGCAGGAGGACAAACACACGGGAAGTACCGCCTGAGTCAAGTATACAGGCTCTCACGCTTCTGTGCGTTTTCACAAACAGAGTGAGAGAGAGAGAGAAGGAGAGAGAGAGGAGTGATAGAGAAGGAGAGAGAGGGGTGAGGGGGTGAGAGGATCGAGCCGAGCCCCGGGAGGGAGCTGCAGGCTGGGCGCCGGAGCGTGGGAGAGATGCCGAGAGGGGAGAGAGGGGAGGAGCAGCAGAGGGAGGAGGAGGAAGATGATGCTCAGACCTCCCCCCGCCCCCCTTCATCCCTCCCTCTCCCCGCCTCTCTCATTTCCTGCCTGGTTTACCTGCTGTTTACTGACTGAGCTTTATTTCAGTCATCCCTCTTTCCAAACCTGTTTCTTTTTTGCTCTCCTCTTTTTATTTTATTTTATTTTATTTACTTTTCTTGCTTTTTCTGCCTTTTTTAGTGTTAGATGTTTCCCACAAACTCATAAAAATCATCACGAGAATAGGCTAAGTGTTGTGGCTGATAAAGCTTTAACATTTGACAACTATTAGACAGAACATCATTGTTGAGAGTTGATGACCCTAATGTTGAAAACAGAGTTCAGTTTATTTGTGGAAGAACTATAAGGCTGTACTGAAATTGCTACAGCTATCTGCCACCGCTGTGTTCGCAAATAACAGTGGTCATTTGTTGTGAACTATGTAAAAAGCAGCTGAAGTTTTCAGTAAAATAGCTAAACTATAGCTGGAAATATATGTTTTAATTAGCATAAGGAAGCATAAGGACCACAGGTTTGCTGAATTTAGCAGAATAAAATGTAACAGTAAGTAAAGTAAGTAAAGTAAAGTTTTATTTATACAGCGCCTTTCACAGAAATAAATTCACAAGGTGCTGTAATTTCAGGGAAGGGGGAGGGGGCAGTTAAGAAACACCCATTCAAGAAGACATACAAGRCAAACAYKGGGGAACAGGTGAAACCGGTCATGCAGCAAACACAGTTGCGCTACCTTTAACAACAGCTTGAAATACACAAAAGGAAAATTGAGTTAAACAATCCGCGAGAGAGCAAGACAGCCTGGGAGGGGGGGTTTAGGTCAGATAACACATAAAGGGGAGGTAAAATGGGGTGGGTTTAGAGGAGTAGGTGACATTGAGGGAGGGGAGTGGGTTAGGATAGGATAAGCACTGCCGTCAAGGCCGTGCCGCTGGGAGCCAGATAGATAATCCAATTGTTTTGGAACAAAGCAGCCTTGAAATTCCTTCTGCTTTTGAAGTGTCTTAATTGCAAACGCTGAGGTGGCGAAAAAAAGCCAATCAGCTGAATTTGGGGTCATTCCTCGCCTCTCACCGATTGAAGCTCACCCAGAATGTAGTCCATGCATGCCTAAGGGTCGCTACTGAGCTGTGATCCTCGTCAGAATCACATCCTGTTTGCAAATTTTTCCCCCAGCAAAGAGTCTGTGTACTTCCGAATTCTTCAAGTGCGCCCAACAGCTCTTCAAAGGCTCAATCCACTGTCAGGGTCGCTTTCACTTTTCGAAAAATCTGGAACCCTCCTCCTCCGATCAGCAGGAATCCAGTTATCATAATCCAAATAATGATCTTCCATGTCTTTGATGGAAAGTGGTGCTGGCATACCAGATTCCAGCCCCAGGAATCAGACAAATCCAGCAGCAACCATTCCACCCAGACAGCCACGTTCCCCTCGTTCCAAGTGTAGAAAAAATACTGTCAATTTCATTCAGAGTCCAGTTGACCAAATCCATAATTCCTTTAGTTTCGAATGGAAGGTGAAAAAAGAGCTTGAAAAAGCAAAAGCGGGGGGAGGGACATAGAGAGCGAAAGCACGTTCTGCTCCTCTTCCTCTTCTGCCAAGCAGAAAAAATTAGTAGCTACAAAAATAATGTGTTTAGTTTATAAAAGCTTTAAAAAAAGAAAAAATAGTTTCAAAACGCTAACTGTAGCTAAGACCAACTAAACATTAGCTAAACATGCAGCAAATAGCTGAATATAGAAGAAAGCATCTTTAGGAAGCATAAATAGCACAAAGTTGAAAAAAGAATGACAAAAAATTGTACAAATGCAGAGATAAAGCAGAAACAAGTATAATTTAGCCAATATGGTGGCAAAACAGCTAAAATTAGCATGAAAATAAGCTAAAGGTAGCAGCATTAAGTTGAAAGTACCACCCAGATGGTGAAATGGTTGTACACTGTAAAAAATGAAATGTTGGATTTACTTAACCATGTTATGTTACCTGGTTCTACTTAACTGAGTTGAGTAAATTCAAAGCAATATACCAGTTTTTTAGCCAAAGAACATGAGCATGTTGCTTTGAATTTACTCAACTCAGTTAAGTGGAACCAGGTAACATAACATGGTTAAGTAAATCCAACATTTCATTTTTAGAGTGTAAGAAATTCAAAATTAGCAGCAAAAAAACAATAAAATTACTAAAAAGTGATAATTTGTGGTAAAATATCTAAAACAGCAGACGTTTTCAGTAAAATGGCTAAAACGTAGGTGGAAGTTCTTTAACTAGCATAAGGAAGGATAAGAAACAACTTTTCTGAATTTAGCAGAAATAATAGCTACAAAAAAATGTGTATTTAGCTTAAAAAGCTGGCTTTGGCTAATAACAGCTAAAATTTAGTTAAATTTGTATCAAATAGCTGAATATTCCAGAAAATTCCAAAACTTGTATTGTTGGTAAAATAGTGTCCTTATGAACCACTGAAAAGTAATTTGAGGAAGATATTAACGCTATAAACGTTCCACAGAAATTCACTTTATAAGACCAGGTTGGAGTTGTTTTAGGAAGACAGAATTCCACTTTGACCTTCACTCAGACTAGCCACTGGCTCATCAATCCAGTAAACTCTGTTTCTTCAAAAACTGCTGTCTACAACAGGCAAGATAGTTACTGTTCCCAAATGTTCCACAGAAACTCACTTCAAAAGACTTGAGCAATACAACTTCAAAAATAAGACTAAAATATGTTTATTCTTCTGCTTTTGTGACTTTTCTTTCTGTCACAAAGAACTTTAGTCATTAGTAAAATTTAATTGCAAGCGTTTGTCTTCATGGAGTTTTAAATTAACAAACATCTGAACGAGTTGTGGAATGAAGAAAAATGAATATTTGTGTGGATGCCACCAAACAGAAGGGGAGTAAATCTTGTTCTGTTTTGGAGTCCAAAAAGATTTAAAAAAATAGCAACAACAACAAAAAGATATATAT